CCCCAAACCCTCCCTAAGCTCTTGTCCATTCGCAGTCTTATAACTTTCAACTTTAGACCCTAAACCCCAAACACGAAAGCTTCAGCCAAACCCAAAACCCCAAAACCCCACAAAACCACAGGGGGAAGAGGGACCCCACACCCCACCCACAGGGGAGAGGGGGGGGGGGTTCCTGGACCATGTACCATTGGGGGGGGAGGGGGGGGGGAGCCGCGGAGCGCCTGACCATATATATATATATATATACACACACATACTCTTTTTTAATATATTTATATATTATACATATATTTGGTCGCCCCCCCCCCCCGTTGACAGACCATCCCCTTCTAAACATCTCTCCCACCGGCGTGTTCGTGCTTTTCCCGGGGTATCGAGCTTGAGCCCTCCGAACGTGCAAGACTCTTGGTGCATGATCTATCATCAGATGTGTGGCCGCCAGTCTTGCCAGAATCAATTCCAAAATTTCCAAAAGTCGCTCCCCTAACTTTCCGAATTTCCAAAATTTCCAAAAGTTCCAAAATTTCCAAAAAGTTCGCCCTGATGTTTTGGAAATTGGAAATTCGGAAAACTAAGGGAAAACATCTATGGAAATTTCTGAAATTTTGGAATTGCTCCGCGTTCGACAAACGTGATGCGGTCTTTTTTGGAAAATGCTGAAATATCCCACCTGTCATATACGACGTACATGAGGTGATTGTGTCATATATCGGGTACCACTTCCGCTACCGGTTTATCCCCCATATACGCACAGATGGGACGTCACAGTAGGTATCAGTATGAATAATACGTATTGTTGATATTTGTAGTATAGTGCTAGAATTAGTCTTAGATTTCGTGTTAGTGTTAACATGTGTATGATGGCACATTAGTATATTGGTGTATCATCATACTGAATTATCCGTACATTACCATGTGAGTATACTACGGAAATTCGTGTATTAATAACCTAGCATATCAGTACAATCGTATATTAATAATGTATTAGCGAAATAATACATTCGTATGCTAAGGTATTCATGTATTCGCATATCAGTAACAGTATATTAGTATAACCGTACATGAATACATTAGTAAATAAATAGAATTGTCTATTCGCGTATGAGTATAACAATATAGTCGTATGTAGTATATAAGTATGTTAGCAGATTAATAAATTAAGCAACATGTTGCTACACCGGTATATTTGTGCACTTGTCTTAACACTAATACTCAGGCTAGTACGAATATGCAACCGGTACTAACACCTATGCTACTAATAACATGAATTCTCCTACGAATACTGATAAGCATACTCATATCAATACTCATCAGACTAGTATTATTGCGGATCCTAATATGTATATACACGTCTACTAACTCTTAAAATACATACAAAAAACTCATCAATGTGTCAGAAAGCCAGTATTTCATATACCAGTATACCAATGCACCAGTATGCCAAGATAGTAAACTGCTAATGTGCTCACATTTTAGTACATCAATATATACATATACGAGTATACTAATGTGCTAGTATATCAACTTACTAAAATACTATTTTACGAACATCCTAATTCATTAATGTGCGAATATACTCATAAAATCTTAATGTACGAGTACATTAATATAACCATATACGACTGTATTGCTATACTAACATACGAATACATTGTTGTACAAATGTACGAATGTAATAATGTACGAATGTACCAATGAACTGTTATATTCGTGTACGAATATACAAATATACCAATAAACTATGGCACTAATATACGAAGACACTCGTATGCTATTTTATTGTTATACGTATATTAATGCTTGACTAATACCAATACTAAACCTAAGTTAGTTCTAAGCCAAATACTTAAACTAACTCTATTACTCATACGAAATATTCTTACGAATAGGCACACTGACATTGACATTGACACTTGCACCAACACTAATATTAAGAGTGGTATTAGTATTAACATTTACACATCTGGTAAGATTACTAAGACAAAACTAAGTCTAAGAGTATCGCTAACACTAATACTAAGACTGCTATTCATAATGCCGGCAATACTAATATTAAGCTCTCAGTCATGTGGCGCGCATCTGGTGTCCTGATTACATGGCATCCTAGATGCCAAGGTTTTAACTTCGTACATTATCTCGCCTTATGTGGTGTTCTCAGTAATTCATAAAAACAATAGTTTCTGGGAGCACATTGTGTCCACACCGCGGTCTGTCGTAGAGGGGGGGCGAGCTTATATTTCTATATATGTATATGTATGTGATTTCTTTTCTGAACAACAAGCGGAAGAGAAAAACAAAACTACAGCAAAAAGAAGAGGATTGAGAACACTGGTGGTGGTGGTGGTGGTGGCGAACGACGTCGATGATGACAACAGCGATAACACGTGAGCGATTAGAATAGATTCAGGAAGCGGTAGCAAGAGTAATAAACATCATGGCAAGTAATTGTAACATCACGGTTGTCTTACAGTCAAGACTTGTTATACGACTACTGTCAGTGATCCTCTTGTTCTTCCTGTATTGATGACTTGATACTTATACACATATACACACATACGTATGTATATAAAGTGCTTACCCTCAGAGCAATGCAACATACCAAAAAACGTGACGTCACTCCGGATGATTATGATCTAATGCATTAAGACGAAATGGAAAGCCAGGCACACAACGACACTCAATGCGAGGTATGAACCAGCTAAACATGATGATGTATAGTAAAGTATATCATAGCAACATAGGCAAAATGTACAGTGCAAAAACACAGAAACGGATCGACGAGAACATACTTACCTAGAGCAGTATCATAATAAGATACCATGATTATACGCTAATGAAAACCAAGGCTGTGTTATATAAGACAAAGTAACTAGCAAGAGGGATGGTTTGTATATGCATGAATGTGTATTCATGGTATACTGTACATCTGTTTGTACAAGTACGGAAACAAATATAAATACAGAAGCAAAATGTAATATGTATGTTCATGTGTTTATACATATGTAAATCTGAACACGGCGATTTTTTAAAATGGAATTCTGTGAGGTTTTTGGAAGACGATAATCCTCGTTGCCGCCCTGCAGGTGTTAGAAGGATTTCTCGGTGCGCTTTTGTTATGCAGTTTTCTTTTGTTCATGTACGGGAACTTTTTGCTGCAAAAGTGCAACAGTCAAACAAAAGAACCTACATTTCCCGGGCTGTACTTAGGGCTTTAGGGTGTCGGGAAAAACAAAAGTCACCCCCCCCCCCCTCGAGCCCCCATGCACCCACCAAAGTTAAAAGAAGACCACACGTCGAAACTGAGCACTGGGCTGGAGCATAACAGCGGTCTGGGCATTGCCGATCCGGCACTATTCGCAAAGAATACCGGGACCTTGAGGGTGACACACAAGGCTTCCACAGGCGTTGTTTTAGCATTACCGAAGTCTGACCGGACAAGCTGGTAGTGCTAGAAGCATTATCTATCTTCGCTGCAGTGTCCTGAAGGGCTACCTAAGAATGCGTTATCAAGGCTTTGTTAGGCTTCAAGAGGGGGTTGGTGCTGAAGGGTTGGTTGATCGACAGAAAAAGAGACCTCAAGGCTTCGGGCCTGAGGCACAGGGCTCTTGATAGCCTCATCTAAGAAGAATATTCGAAGGTTCTAGAGTTTTGGAGGGCTTGGGGTTCCAAGCTGTCGACTGGTGGGTCGGGAATTTGGGGCTTAGAGATTAAACTTATCTTCTAACGATGTTCTACATATCGTTCCCCCTAAACCCCTCTGACCTGCAAATCCCCCCAACAGCACTTGCAGTAGCCGTCGTTATCACCGGCGCCGGTTTTTTGGGAAAGGTGGGGGGCAATGCTCGAAAGTCAAGGTGGCGGGCAATGCTTCAAGTTCGAAGTCCAAATGCCATCATGATGACTCTCAAACTGCATGCATGCGTGTAGTGGTGGTGGCGGTGGTGGTGGTGGCAGTAGTAGACCTGCTACATCCTGCTACTGCCGTCAGCACTGCTGCTACTCTTGCTCTTCTTGCACTAGTATACTGCGCTGCTACCAGGCACACGCTCCGGCAGGCTTCGATGATGGTAAATGTTTTGAGAAGCTTCGGCTGGCATTAAGAGACCCACACAGGGCAACGGACCGCCATGAAGCAAGTGCGAGAAACGGCTGCATGAACGACATCTGCTTTTGTTTATTGAAGCGGGGTATTCCATGATTTCGGCCGGTTCCTTCAAAGTGAAAACATCTGAGGTGATTCCTCACCTGGGGTCCAGGTATTCACAACCCACCTTGAGAAAAGGCAGCCGTGAACAAATGTGTGGGTTACCTGGGGCGGGCTGAGCGGGACATAAGTTTCCCGGGAAGGGCACACTCTTCCAGACTTCCACCGCTTGAGCTGGACAGCATGGGAGTTCCTCAATGCACAAGCCTGTTTCAAGCATGCAGTCATCCTGCGCCTCACACAAAGACCTACGAAAAAATGCACGTCGCACCGAAGCCCAAAACCTAAACCCTAAACCGAACGGTAAAGCCTAAAGTAAGTCTAGCTCCGCATCCATTCCGGGGGCTCGGCTTCGCTTTTTCGATGGTTGTTTCGTCTTTTTGCTGCAGAGTCGGGCACCGCCTCTTCCATCAAAGAGGCACCTTCCAGGAAAGCTGTGGAAGGGTGTACGGCTTGATCTGGCTGAGTGTAGGGTTCAGGTTAAGCCCGGATAGTGAGTGCTGCTGTCATGGGAATGTTGAGTTTGCTAGTCTCATTATTATCAGTCTGAAAGGGGTTCTGTGCCCAAACAAATGGTATCGGAGAGCTGTCTCACTGCACAGCTATTGCTTCAGCTCGAGGGCCCAAACACATGCCGCGCTGACACATGGGAAGTTCTCTAAATTAGGGTCCCTTTTCAGGTCCCCATTATAGTACGGCACCCTTATAAAAGGGACCCTCAAAGGGACCCTAATTTAGACAACCACCCACATGCATGGTTCAAGACCCTGCTGCAGTCAGGAATGGACGGAACACACACAACAGTTGTCCATGATTAGCATCAGAACTACCAGTCCGTAAGTCTTCAACAGTAGCCGCCGTAGTTAAGGACCTTTGTTGCCGCTGTCGCAACGTCGGCAATATTGTGAATTGGGCTTTGCGCCCACTTCTTCTTGGGCTGTTTTGGCAATTGTGCGGCTTGTGTTCCCCTGTACTTGTGCCTCACACACACAAAGGGTTTAACGAGAGTGAAGGGCTTCAGAAACGGGATCGACCGCCTCGCCTAATGAGCCTATCCACGGCCTTCGCCTGGCTGGTTGAACAAACGGGATCAACCGTTTTTCCAAATCCAGAGTGGGTGGTTGAAGAAACTTGATCAACCGCCATCGCCTACGGTAAGGACGGGCAGGTTCCGGTCCAGATATTAAGGCGCAAGGTCATGGATTGGGATGTATGTTTGGCATCCCCCTTGGGCAGGGGAAGGCCGCTACAAGTAGGGCCTGCTAGGAAAGGCAGGGTGACGCACACAATTCAGCCCGTTGCACAGTGTTGTTCGTAGTTTGAGGCTTAGGGTTTGGGGTGCAGGTTGCAGGATTTCGGAACCAACCTGGGACACCCAATTCTCAACTGAAGCATCCCGACCTCCTTCACTGATCTGCCGATCGCCGCCGTGCGCGGTCAATTGAGATATCCTGCCATGCAGCTGGAAGCACAAGGCTGCACTAGTCTACACAGCCAGAACGAGCCCGAAAGACATCGCGTCCGAATTTGTGAACCAAACCGTTGTATTCAACTGATCCTACCGCTGTGTGTGCGAATGACAGGACTCAGCAGCCGTCGCAAATGTCTCCAGTCGTCCTCTGGAAATGATCGCTGTCTTCTTCTTCGTCGTCAGCACAGGGATGCTGCATCACCGTGATAGCTGCAGCCATGTCTGTGCAAACCTAACACGATGCAGGTGTTGGCCGGGCTATAGCATCTGTGAGCTGGATCTGGAAGCTGAGACCATCTGAAACCGCGTTGTCGCTGTTGTCGTTGTCGTGTTTGTGCAACGCTGACACGTCCTGCCCTCGCTTAGGTGTTCTAGCTTATGCTGCTTTGTGCCTATGCTTTCTTGCTTATGCTTTTTTTCTTATGCTTTGTTTTTTGCGCGTATGCTTTCTTGCTTAGGCTTTTTGTGCCTATGCTCTTTTGCTTAGGCTTTTTTGCGAATATGCCGAACCGGAACACGTTTGCGGAAACATACGGGCATCCAATCGTCAAGCGCAGCATGCACTGGACTTTGCTGAAGGTACTCGGGCGAGACCATGCCGAGAGTGCAGGGGTGCAGGGCGGTCGTCTGGCCGAAACGAGTGCCCACATCACAAAACAACAAACATGTTAAAAGTGAGATTAGGGGCGTGGGTGTTGGTGTGTTGTCGTGTCTGCTTCAGTTGATGTTTCTTCTCACTGTCTCCGACCTGTTCTCTGCCCTCGTCGCCTCCTTCGCTTCCTCAGAGTCCGAAGTCATGCTCCCAGCTGCTCGGCTCGTTGGCCTTCAAAGCCATTAGCACCTGTTTTTGCTCCCAGACTGTGGCAGCGCTTCCGCAAGGGCTCAAGCTCTTCCCCCTAGGCCCGAAACCCCAACAGTCCAAGCATAGCACCATGAGCACGGCTCGCAGCAGCTCTCTGACTACAGGCGCCTTGCTTTGAAGGGCTTCCAAGGGTCAAAGTTATGTTAAGTTGGGGATTGAGGTACGAAGATTCATGGTGCACGTGCTTCTGGTTCAGGATAGTGCAGCTTGTTGATGAGAAACTGATCCCATCGCATCCCAAGGGTAAGCGATCCTTGAGCCATCTCGGGCAGCCCATGTGGGCAATATCTATGCATCCTGAGAACACAGCAAGCAGGGAAGCGGACAGACCAGAAGAACTACTAAATCTCAATGGCATATCCATGTCATGATGTTGCTGGTTTAGTTCTGGGGCGAAGCATACCCTAACCCGGGCGCCGTGAAGCTGATAGAGAATGAGGAGTGCAAGTGTGTTGCATGGCTCCCGAATTTGGATTTCGCATGCGGGCTAGCAATTGCGAAATAACTGTGGTGTGTGTTGGAGTATGCCTGCGAGCATGCCTTCTTTCGAAGTGGCTTCAGCAGGGAACCGTGCCGTTTGCCTTGTTCCCTGTGATGGCACTCAACTTGCAACTTGCAATTAAGACCAAAGTGCTAAGCACAACTGCTGGACTCAAATGCTGCAGGGTGTGCCAGCCGCACCGTTCTACGAGCTGACCCAAGCTCGGCGTTCAGCTGCAATACACACGCCGAGTGCCACGTCGACCCGCATTGCAAGCTCTGTGCTGTCAGCATGGCCAATTGGCACCAACCTGAATGTACGCCCCAGACAGTCGCGGCGCGGTGTCTTCGACCGTCCGGACGTTGCAAAGGGCAGCAAACAGCAGCACCAAATTGACAGTCGTAGCTTTTGCAGAAAGCGAGCTTTCGTGACGTAGTTCGGAACCCAAGCCATCCCTACGATTCATTGCAGGCCGATCATTCATCCGCTGGATGTCCTACCAAAGCTTATAAAGCTTCAATGGGTGTCAGAGGTTGAAGTAACTGTACGTATTCAATCATTTTCGATCGGTCATGCAGCCGAAGCGCTGGTGCACGGCTGCCACGATTAGCTACCATACATCCATGTCATCTGTATCAATCGGTGAAGACTCAACATTGAGATCTCTTTCTGTTCGGTCCGAAACATCCCACGCATCTGCGAAGCTTGGCACGGTCTCGCGCTGCATCTCTGAAACCCTGTGGACCAGCTCTTGGATATTGGCATCAGGGAGTGCTGCAGCAGCACGTGGCGCAAAGAAGTCGACACTTTCAGTTTGGAGTGGTTGGACGGAGGGGCTAGCTGGGGCAGTCCGAAAAGCTCCAGAAGCCCAACCACGCCGACGGCAAAGTGGCCGAGTTTTGGGTGAGGAGTTCCTAGACGCACCCAGTCGCTCGAGTCGCCCCTGCCAACTACTGTCTGGGCTTCTGCTTGCAGTCTTTGCAAGTTGTGCAGTGCCTATCGGCAAACAGTCCTGTAGGTCAGTCTGTACGAGCCTTATATCTCTCCCATGCGGTGCACAGACTTCTGTCAAGGCAGCTTCACAGTCCGCGATCTTCTGTTCTGTTTCGCGGAATCGTTCACTCGTCACTGATCGCAGCTGTTGGACCTGCTCCGTGAGCTGGTGCACGGCATCATCCAGTTTGCTGTCCAGCCTCTCGATAGCCCTCTTGGGGTCAGCCTTGATCACGCCGATCATGCCACTTCTGCTTGGAGGGGTAAGGCCCTTCGGGTCCAAGTCGAGCTGATTCATCTGCAGCCTAGACGACACAGCAAAGACCTCTTTTTCAAGCTTCTCGAGGCGAGCCGCGATGGCCACGTTGACTTCACGTTCGAGACAGTCCACACGTGGAGCAAGATCTCCGGACGCCGGCGAGGACATGTAGAGGGAGGACCACACCTGCTGAAGTAGGAACCACGAGCATCAATCTCAACCAGTCATCAGGCTTACTGCGCGCCTTGATGGTGATGGGCAGGCCTCGGCAAAATCTCGCTTAGCTAAGGTTTGTGCGAACAAATGTCAGGGACAGGAATGAATTGGAAATAAAGTTTGAACATGCATCTCGAGGGTCTCATGTACCAAGCTGATAAGCTGGCGTTGGACTGACGGTGTGTCGGCATTGGCTGGAAGGTGAGCCCCCGTTTCGTTGCCGCAGGTGAGACGGGAGGGAGGAGACAGAACACGTTGGGTGCAGAGTGCAGCACATTGAGCTTGCTGTGTGCTAAGTCTCTGGGCCGGACTGTCGGCGAATTACGCACTGAGAAGCTACATGACCACTGGTTATCTCGCAGCCATCGCAGAATACCTTTGATCGGCCAATGAAATCCAATGACTCTAACGAACAATAGCATCCACCCTGCGGAACTGACGAAGACAATCCTTGAATATCGGGGCCTCGCTGAGGCTCTCACAGAAGCATAGCTACAGAATGGGTGCGCTGGGAAATGGCTACAATCGCTAGAATGTGCTGCCGGCTTTCTCCTCGCCCAGTGTAGGAAGGCTTGTCGTCTCCGATGTCCCAGATGTCCTTGTCAACCGCATTTTCTAAAAGCTTCGTCGTAGATGAGAGGTTCTGAGCTGCGGCTGCAGAACATGAGCTCAGGACGGCGCGGCAGCAAGGGGATGGACGTCTCAATGGGTTTAGGGCTGCCGTCGATCATAGGCCATCGGCGGAAGCAAGCTTCCTTGTGATGCTGAGAGCCTATACATCTTGGCGGCAGCAACTTCACGCGTCAGCCTGCTCAGCTATTTTTGCGAGGTATCTTGCACGTGGCTCCTGCAGTGCATGCGAAAAGCATACTGGACTTGGACGAGATGCTTCCGACTCAAGGTGGTACTTGCTTGTAGCCAGTATCACCATTGAACATCCGTAGTCCTTCGCAAACCTCTTCAGTCTCTACATTGTACATGCATTGGTTTACATATCATAACAAGACCGTGCAACATAGTTCTTGTAATTCCTAGCAGCTGGCACCAGAGGCTGAACAAAAAAGGACATGCCCACACAGACTCTTTGCCCGAATATGCTGTCAGGCTAGGGCCTAGCTACTGTAGGGCTTTCAGCTATGTGTCGATGCAAGTTGAAAAGCTTAGTCTGAGAAGCGTAGAGACGAGAAGGCCTAATTGAATGCTGCACTGCGAAACAAATCTCCGGCAACAGGTGGAGGCGACGTACTCAGACCTACTCCAACCGTGAGGATATGCAAACGCAAATGACACGCCACGAGGCCTAAACTCCTAGATTCCTAAATGCACTCCGACTGCATGGTCGGATTGCTCCCCGGGCCCAAGGCGCCAACCTTGCACGCTCCAAAGCAGCAGCCTACGATGTCAGCCCAGGTGGAAGTGCATTTGGAAATCGTGCGTAAGCAATATCGAGAATATCTGGTGACGCGGATGAAAGGCACCCACTCCCAATCCCAAAACTGAACTTACCCCACTGAGGTGTGGCACAACCGCTGCACATCCGGCTCGAGTTGTCGGCCTGGAGAGTGGCGTATCTTTTTGTTGCTGTCCGCTGTGCGATGGGGTCTCCGCAGTGAGATCAGCATCATGTAGCGGTGTCCACGACTGAAAACTCCCTCAACAGCAGGCCAGTTTTGCCTCTCTTCATTGATATTCTCCATCTCGAGTCAGTGCGCAAAGAGCCGACCGGTGTAACATCGGGAGAATCACGGCCGCCCTTTCACTGTTCTTGCTGTGTCAGAGACTCGTCGGGCTCTAGACAACCGTCTCTCAAGCACCGTAGCGAATAAATCTACGGTCTCATGCCAATGCGATGCCCATCCTGGTCCACGGCTTGCGTTGAAGGAAATTGTACACATGGAACGGCCGGACCTGCAAAAGAAGAGATGACACAATGTGCGTAGGCTCCATTTGCCTATCCGAGCTGCCCAGCCCCTCTTGATCTTTCAATCTGGGAATTTCTCAACTTGTCTTGCAATTTCGCTATATACTAATACACCGTCGTCATACATCTCTAACCTCATCCTTCACTCCAGCGTTCAGGCGGTACATTGCCAGAACTTGACCCAACTGCACGCGCTCCCGCTCTGACATCTGCCACAAGTCAAGCGGGATGTTTGAGCTCATGCTGCACTGTCGATCGAATCAAATCCTGCAGATCCCGAATCCCAAACACGTGGGTTTCACTTCTCGGCCTTTGCGTAATTGCGGATGCTTTCACATGCAGTCTTTGGACGTCGGGTGGGGAAGATTGGCTCGGGTTTCAGAAGCATCCAATACAACCACCGATGTCCAATATCCGGAAGATGTGACTCTGCACAAGTGGGTGGATGCGCGGCTGCATGGAGTTCCAAAGCCTCTGCGCGATGAATTTCCACCTGCTCGACAACACAGCACACATGACCCGTGTAACAAAGTTTTGATCTGAACATAAAACGGCAAATCGCCAGAGGCGCTGCTACGAAAACCAAAAAAGCAACGTTGTTTGTGCCAAACGCCTGTTCATCATTCTTGCATATTCTGACAAGGTCCTACAGAGCCGGGAAAAGCTACGCGGCTGTGGGTTTCACTGCTGCACTTTTCCGTTATTGACACAAGCCAGGCCGCTGTGGGTTCTGTCGACGGGGCATGCTACTGACAAACCTAGGGGTGCAGTAGGCCATCCTGACACCAAGGGTGTTTACCGCATTTTGTGTAACTGGCCTTTGTTTACCCTGTGTTCCTTTGTTTCCTGCATTTTCCTGCTTACTGGGGGAGGCATGCTGCAGTGTACCACGGCTCAAACGGCTCGATGCCCCAACACAAAGCACAACCTCTCATGGCCATATTTCCTGCAATTCTTCGCAACCATGCATAGCCTATAAGGCTTCAGGTGCTGAGATTTCCCTAGCAACACACAAGGACACACACCCTGTGTTCTGCTGCGTCTTTGGCTTAAAATGCATCCAGTCGCTGCACGAACATGTGACGGGTCACCTCGTCACGCTCTGTGCCCTCTCGACCATTGCGGAGAATATAGAGGAGAAGTGCGCAACCTCGCACTGTAGTTCCAAGCATGTCCTAAGTCGGTTTCTGCAATTTCTCAGCCCATGCTCAGACAGTTAAACTAACTAATTAAACAGGCTTGCCCAAAACTGGAAACAAAGAGCATGCAAAACGCTGACGAAGTCTTGGCCGGCGAGCTCGAGGACACCGACATGATCTTGGCAGTTGTGCTTGATAAGGATCACGCACCATCGTCGCAACACATCCACGTTCGACGAAGCATTGAACCCGTATGCATTGCCGATGTGGACCACGCTGTCACGGTATATAGATGTACTGTCTTGTATCAGGTCCAAGAAGAAGAGCTGCTGTAGAACCGTCCACTTGACCTGTGCCACCGGAAGACAGCAGGGGGGCCGATGATGGCTCAATGCCCAAAGCTTTCAAAGCACATGTCAACAACACGTACACCTGTTCGAAATTTCTTGGTCTTTGCCTGACCTTTGCCTGCAACTTGAGTGTATTACACAGTACGGTTAAGGGTTGAGTCTGCCCCTGCCGCCGCAGTTTGGTTGCTTCCCATCCATACCTTCGTTCCACCATGGTTTGTAGATTCACCCATGCTTTTTGGGCCTCTTTGTTTCACTTATGCTTTAGGGTTGGGGGATGCAGTCCAGATCAAAGGAAGGCTCGATAACGCGGAGTCTGCACCAGCAACAGTGTCTCTCCTTGATAGAAGGTGTATCGGACACGACGGACTCTCGATGTGCGCGACTTGTGAGATGGGACAGAACACACCTTGTCGTAGCGTCTTCATCGTGTTGGTGTAATCAATTCGTCTCCGATCACTGCGCTCTCTGTCCCTCCCTCAATCAAAGGCTCCTGGCACCAGTCAATAATCGGCTGAATGATCATCTTGTGAGCTTCACCACCGGTTTTTAATACACACACACACACGAACAAATCCAATTTCACATCGCCAGGCATAGGGTATCTTTTCGTCAATCTGTCGACCGGAGGCCTCGGGCTGCCTCGGGCGTTTGGGTAGATCCGCAACCAAGGATCCGGTATTGGATCGGCCGATCATGTGGCATGTTTCATGTAGCGGGGGAGAGTTACACCAAAAGGGGACAGAGCAGGTATGTCTGGGGTCGGGGTGGGTTTTGTTTGGGCCGGCTCCAGCAATGAGCGTCCTCCTCTCCACAATGTTGCTGCTTCACCGCGGACACAACTTACAAAGTCACAGAGAAATGCGCAGATCATTGCTTAAAGCTACACGGGCCAGACGCACACGTTCTCGTCTGGTGTTGCAAGCTTTAATTGGTCTGCTTGCTGTCAGTTCTCGACATGGTCGCGGCACACAGGAACTCTGCAGAGATCTGCAATGCTTATATAACTTGCCGAAGCTGCTGATTCATAGTTCAGCATTCGAAACGCAACGCAGTCACGCTCTCGTGAAACTGCAGGTCGGCGACAATCGCCGGGGAGGCCCCATCTTAGCGATTTACTGGTGACACCTGCAAAACATCACCCAGGAACCTGTCACATAACCAGGCTCTGATGCTTTCAGTGCAGTACGCCTTGACATGAATGGCCGTCCGAATGATTAGCTTGTTCAGCTTGTTCTCGCTGCCACCGACAACTTCGACCGGGATGATGTCCCTCAGTTGAGTGCTGCTGCCCATTCCGATTAACTCATGTGCACGTTTTCTTGTATCCAAGAGTCTCCCAAGCGCTGGCGACCTGCAGGCAGCGAAGACCATGCTGAGCAAAAAGATTCGAACTATGTGCGTGCGTGTGGGTGCTTGGGTGTGTGGGTGGGTGTGTGTTGTGCGTGAGCGTGTGCTTGCGTGTGCTTGCGTGGGTTAATCTGTATTCGTACATGCGCGCATGTGCCGGAAGCCCGGATTCAAATCTAAGGGTTCATGGCAAGTTGTTTCAACACGCACGTGGATTGGCATGAGATCAGGGACCACGTCCAACGAAGCACCTGATCTCATCGGAAGCTTGGCCAGCTTTGTGTACCTGTGTACCTGCTCCGGAATGGCAAACAGGCAGAGCCCAAGACCTTACACCATTTCATAATTCGGGGACTCCATGATGTTGTGCCGGAGTATTGCGATGCAAGTTGTCACACGTCAGTTCGTAGGACCTAAACCCCGTAGGACCGCACATTTTCCAGATCGATTTTCAATCCAATGTATGACTTTTTTGCAGCCGATGAAACACCTACCAATCTCCGTGTGGGCCTTGCCACTTGCAAAAGGAATTGCCGATTTCCGGACTCAGCCGGGAATCGCGCTCTCTCTCTCTCTCTGCCGGGCCGGGCACGAGGGCTGGTCAAAGCCCTGGGCGTCAGGCCCACCCGAGCATTGTCGGGACGAGGGGAGTGAAGTACGAAGGTAGCTCATCAGTGCTCTCCGCAATCCCTCTCTGGCTTTCTCTTTGTCTTTTTCTCCAGGGCATGAGGGGCGGTTAAACCCCCCGGCCAGAGTCCCTTATGTGATGGTGCTTTGGAGGAGTGTGAAAGACCAGGATTGTTCCAAAACCGGATAACGGATAGGTGTTTGCAATAGAGACCGGTCACCAATCAGCAACCACGAACCGCACGGGCCAGCGAACACGCAGCGCAGGACAACTGGAAAGGGCGAGGTCCGAAACAGACTATAGCACTTTCGCGCAGAAACTAAAAATCCACCCAAAAATCCTCGTCTATTGAGCTGCAAATGCAGGAATCACGAGACAGGAAAGCCGGAAAAGGGGGATGCGAAATAGACTATCAGACTATCATTTTCTCGCAGAAAGCCTCGCATGCACGTGAAAGTCCTATTTCGGGGACAACCTTTGGAAACTTCTTGTCTGAGCAGGACAAGCAGTAATCACACGGCAGGAGAGTGTGTGTGGGGAGGCGAAATACACTAGCATTCGGTCTGTGTCCCCAACCCAACGATGCTTGAAGTGAATGGGGCGCAGCTCTTGCAGTGCACGACAGCGATTGCACAGAAATATAGCCGCCTCTGCTACGCTGCTGCTACCGCTACTTGTACTTTCAAAAGGGCAAAGAGCGTATTGCTGTTGACGCGTCTGCGTCGTTTTTTATTTTATCGTGGTTGCGAAAATCTCTGTTGCACCAGTTAATGTTGGTATGTTGTTAACGTGCACCCTCCGAGCAGCAGCCACTTCTCGCGTGCCAAATCTTTTGAAGTCACCCCTGCGGGGTGTAACCTTTGAGACGGGGACCAGACTAATTAAATCTCGCTCCGTTCTCTCCGACCACGAACACCAAGCCGGCACATGTTCGGAAGGGGAAATAATTTGGAATGTTTTCTTGGTCAACCCCTCGGGTTTGTTCCAGAGCAGGCGAGCGGGCAGCAAAGCAACATGGGCAAGTCGAAGCCAAGCAAACCGCGAGAAATAAGATTAAGGGCAGATTTAAAAACATTCCTCTTTTCAACGTGCTTAGATAGGCGCTCGATTGCACAACGAGTTCAAGCTACTCAGCATTAAGAGCAGCTGTGGCTGCGCAGGTGGTGTACAAGCCCATGTCATGGAATTGCATTCCCCACGACGGTGGCTATCAGCCAAGGCTTGATCATCACCGCTCCCGCTATTGCCCCCAAATTGCAACTGCCGTCGTCTGGGCGGGCTGCTGTTCATCTGAGCTTCCCTCGAAACAGCTGCATTGCGCATTACGTGGTGTCTCTCTGCGCTGAGTGCTTGTGTTGCTTGTTTCGTTGCTGGAGAACAAGGCAACTGAACTACGATCGATCGATCTCACTCTCTGTTCTGTTCTCCGGGGTACGAGGAGCTTGTCAGGCTCCCCGCGCCGAGTGTCTCTGCCTTTCGTTGCCGTTGCATCCAAAGGGCCCGGCAGCGCCAAGCCACGCATGAGGCTCAGCCCTTCAGGCCCCATGAAACATCAAGCCGACCCAGCAGTGCACGCCAACATGTGCCAAGCACTCATTTTTGCGGCCCAAACACAACTCAGACAAGAAGTTTCAACTATATACCACTCCAGCATCACGGACGAGCTGGAATGTTGCGCGGCATGCATCTTCACGAACTGACGGTTGCGCAGTCATCCTCCACAAGAAGAAGCATATAAAACTGGTCACCACCGCGCCAAGGACACGCCACAGGTCGCAGCTTCCCAAGGGCACATGCACCTACGCAGGCATGGCAGTCAACGGTGAGGCACCAATTTTTTTGACGAGTGAATGTGCCCTGAACATTAACGCAACCATGATCCGGGCCAGCCTCATGCTCATGCGGCCATGAACTTCAGTGTCATGATCAGCCATTCAATCATTCAGGTTAGACAGAGGACCAACGAGTAATGACCAGCGTGTTGTGCCACTAACCGCTGGTATGTTGGTTGTCGTCACGAGTCTGGGTCGCAGGCTGTGGAGTGTGCCAGAGCCACCAGGAATCGGGAACAGAGAACAAGTGGACCAACTGGACGCCAACTATGCACCGGCCATTGTTGTCTCCACAGCCATTCCCATGATCTGACAGCAAAGCACCATCGCCGAGGTATCATTCCTGCTTGTTACATAACGAACATGCTTACGGCTACGGGTACCAGTGAGAAGGTACTTTCGGTTCCGACATCTTCATCCGGACGTGTACTTTCAGGCAAAGCCGTTCACAGAAGGTTTCATCGTCAACTTCGTTTGATTAGTATTTGATTTCATGTGGGCACGTGCACATGCGTGAGCGTGCATGCGGTCGCATGCGAGCGTGTTCGTGTTGGTGTGCGCGAATGCGAGCAGTGCATGTGGGCGTGCGGATGTCTGTGCCTTCTCAACCTCGCGAACTTCGGCGAGACCTTGCTCGGCGCTCAGCTATCTTGCGAAGCTTAGCCGGCAGTTGAGGCTTCGACTGCTGGCTGCACGGAGCTGCTTCCGAAGCTGCTCGGCACACCAATCATCCTCGGTGACAACATGGCATTGGCTTTAAGTTGTCGATGCGCAGCAGTTCATCCTCGGGGTTGTGCTGGTGGCCACTCAGCCAGGTCCATGGTCAATTCTGCAGGCTCAACCGGCATGAGTCAGATACTGTCGTAAACACGAGTGCCGCTTTGAAGTAACTTTGAAGGCTCCTGAAAAGCCTTTCAAAGCAGCAAGCGCAGCCTCCGCGACAAAAAGCGCTGCTGGCAACTCGCACTAAGTCACTAAGTGAAACCAAGCTTGCTTGGTAATGCGGTCCTCCTCAGAAATCGGTACATCTCGATACTTTCCCCTGAGCCGACCTGGGCCAGGCAACTTTACCGCATCTCATGGCCGAAACATCCAGCAGTCATAGGCGAGGGCTTGAAAGCAGGAAAAGGAGTTTGTTTCAAGAGAGCCGAGCAGCTGACGCACTAAAGCTTCATTCTCCTGGGGGGACAACGACCTGATGCGAGGTGCTTTGCAAGACTGGATTCCTAAATCGCTGCTAACTGTTACTGACACCCCCCACCCCCGCGCACTCAAACATTCCCGCACCCTGCCCACACACCCTCGCGGCCCTCGCACCCACACACCCCCGCACCACAGACAAACAAACAAAAAGACCCAACGCTAAATCCCCCAACCCCGTCCCCAACCCCCAACCGCCCCCACGCACGCACGCACACACACACACACCCACCCAGACACAGACACAGACACAGAAATGCGCACGCACACACACAAACAGAAAAACCCACACAAACACAAACAAAAACACAAACAAACACAAACAAATCTCACTCACTCACTCACTCACTC